TCGGTTGAAGATAATCTCTCCGTTATTAAGTTTATGCGATTCAAGCTAAGGTGCTTTTCATCTTAGTTTTTGCTTAGGAACCCTCAGGTTTAACTGAATGCTCCTCTGATGACACGCTCATGTGAGGGCTTTAAATGTTGCATATTTTGAGGAATCAGAGTTTGCACAACTTGTCTTGTGGTTATGGGGGAATTCTTGAGCTGAGTTTGTTTTATTAGCGGGCCTGTAACTTTCTAGCCTTTCGTGTAGAAGAGTGCTATCTAACGTGGAGGCAGCGTGGTCGAGTGGTTAGGGCGCCGGACTTGAAATCCAGAGGTCGCGGGTTTAGGTCCCGTTCTAACCGCTTAGCTGCAGTTGTTTCTCGGTAGACCCTAGTTCATATCCTTGGACATGCTTGCAAAGAGCCTACTAATGCCTCCCAGTAGTTGGGATTTTTAAGTGCTTATGTTTATTTGAAATATTTGTTTCTTTCAGTTTAAGTGGAATGCCTGTGAACTAGTTAGTTGTAGCTAAGCGCATTGACCATTACAAACATTCAGCATTGGACATTTTGTTGCACCCGGAAAGTTCTGAATTGCGGCGCCAACAGAACATAAAAACGTGAAGGGTAGGAAGTTACATGATTGCAGCAAGTGAGGCGTTCTTAGTAGGGAGACGGTTACTACGGACGAATTTTACCACCTAAATGCATGACAGACAAAGATGAGTAGTAATTTTTAATGTGAAGTTCTGAAGTTTAGTTTAATTTTGTGGCAGGTTGGACGAAGATGGGAAAGTTCTCTCACCAGAGGAAATCCTTTACAGAGTAAGTGAAATAATTATTTTACTATTTTAGAGGCTGTGTGAGCCTAATTTACGTTTTGATTGGCTTTGTACCTCTGCAATGTATTTATAATGGTAATAGGACTGAGTGGAGTTCAATTCGGTCTGTAATCATCAGCGGGAGTCCGATTTGTTAATCAAGAGTATGATTACAGACTGAATTGGACGACACGATGTCCTGTTACCATACCAAAATTCGAGAAAAGAACAAACCATCGATTGATCGCTGAACGATTAAACGTCGTTATGAATGCTGAAAGACAGAGCAGTTTACTCAAAAAAGTGCACCGCAACAGCGCGCGCAAAATGACGCGTAATGTCCAATTACAAGCATGACGCGTACACTGTCCAATTAATGCTCAAATCGGGCTGCTGATAGCCAATCACGTTCGAGAATTTTGTTATAGTTTTGATTAATTGTGCAATCGTCTTAACGCTAAACTTCCTGACAATGTATTACAGCAGTTCCTTGGCCGGATAAGGTCTTAATGGACCACTGAATTCTCAGAACTATTTTTCAAGGGATGTATTGCAATTCTGTGAGGAGAGTTGGCAATTTGAGCTTAGGGTGGTAAAAAAGAGTAAAATGGTTATCAAGCACATCTGAAGTTTTTTTATTAGCGGCAGTAACAGCTGTTTTGGGAAAGGCGTGTTAGCGCACGCAACAACGTCGAAAGGTATTATGGGTAATGTGGTCTACCATTGCTTGATGGAAGCTAAAGCTGTTTCAACGTGTTAGAAGGAAACAGCACAAACTCGTGTATTCATGCTTCCCCCTCTTGGCTGCTGACACCGTGAACCTCAACCGCAACCTCTATCGAAACAGCTGTATGCATTTTTTTTGTTCCTGTCATTTTAGGCGGTACAGTCAATAAACATGAGCCACGACGCAGCAAACTCACAGATGGATATCAAGGTAAACCGGCTTTCTAACCGGTTTTTTAGTGCTCTGTTGTTTGTTATGGTTAACTTATGTTATGTTGGCATTTTGTGACAAAGTAAAACTTTACGTTAACACCTGTTTCACGAGTGATTAATAGCAAACAGTTCTGATGATACTTCATAAAAGATTTTGCAACGGCGTTAAAATAACGTCTTATTTATCATTTAGCTATGGATCCTGCAAATGGTAAAACTTTTTTTGATATAAAAATATTTATTTTCATGGCAAAAACAATTTTAAGAGTATTCCGCTAACAGTAAAGTCATTAGTAGCCTTGCGTTTTCAAAGTGTCTGGAAGAGGATTAAGATAACGTTTTGACCGACCAGTAGATTTATACTATAAAAGCAATTCGATTATGACTTTGTGATTTCTATGCGCGATAATATCTCAAGCTCGGAATCTAATTTTTAATTTTTTACATCACAAACAACCTTTATAAGAGCATTCCGCTACTATTTTATAAACATTACTTACAATACTGTGGCTATGACAGTATATTGCTCATTTTTTATATAAAACTTTGTTTGGCGTTGAGGTTGGCCACTAAATTTATGTTCCAACGTTTGTCTTTCAGTTCCGCTCTCTAATCTGCTATGGCCTCAAGTAAGTGTTTTGTGGATTGTGTGTTACTCTTTGTCTCGACTCTTTTTCCCGAAGCCGTTATTTGAGTCCTCGCTAAGCGCTGCGTGACACCCAAATAGGACAGATAGAGTTGTTGATCAGATGAGAGTGATTGATTTTTCAAAAGCTCAGTGGGGGTGGTTTTTAAATCATACACGTTTGTCATTTTAATAGTGAGCAATGTCTTCATCTGTGGCTGGAAACGCTGTGTTCGTGCGAAGATATCGTCAGCAAGTGGTAAGTGACTACTACGCAACCTTTTCCTTTGTGCTTGCATGACAGTTGTTTTTGTCACGTTACGAATCACTCAATCTTTGTATCAGCTAAGCCACTAATCTTGGTAATGTTAGTGTTCAGTGTTACATATGCTATTGGTCAAATAGGGCAATAAATGTTCTATGGTTCTGTTCCAGGTACCATCCATGGTCTTTTCTTCGCAGTCCAGGCTGGGTGCAAATCAAGTGCGAACTAAGGTATAATGATATTAGAGTAGCTATATCATTGTAGCCATATAAACTAGTTATGGGTTTCTGATACCATTTCCGTTATTTGCCGTGCTATAAACCATCAGAGGCAACAATTTTATTTGTCATATAACTGGAGTTAAGTTGGATCTAACGCGCACTCTCATTGGTTGATTTATAGTCACATGGTAATGGCTAAATCTATATGTGTCCAACGCAACTGTTGCCCACTCTCCCACTAAATAGAGGTTACTTTGATTTCTCCTTGACTTATGACTTCACACTAAACTCCAGCTCTATGAGAAAACACTTGATCACTGGTTCCTTGAGAAACAATTGGTTTGGTTTTCGCTCGAATCTCGATGTTTCCATCGTCGCCGGGAAACATCGAGATTCTCGGGGAAACAAAACTGTTTCCCAAGGGACCGGTGATCAAGTGTATAACGTACAATCTGGAAGTCATGGGTTCGAATCCTCGAGTAGCCTTAAATTCTTTCAACGTAAGCAAAGCAATTTCTTCATACGCTTCCACACAGAGATTGGGAGAAGATCGTTTCAGTTTATTTCACGTTCCTCCCACAGGTTGACATGTATATCGCTTACTTGACATAAAAAAATTCCGATTTCTTGTCTTTTAATTCAAAGTTAGTCAAGGCTTTTCAACATAGCGTCATCGTCAGATGCCTTATGTTTCGTAGAGTTTTTCAGATAAAAGCTGCAAGCTCAGAAATGGACTACCGCGCGAAAAAAGACATGTCTCTCCGTACATTCCTTTCCATTTATTCTCCGCCAGACAGTCCGTTCAAATCGTACCGAAAACGTCCTTACCCATCATCTCTTAGCATAAAGACTGTTGCTCAGTTGTAAATTTTCGAACGCGAATTACAACTAATCAAAGACGCTGTAATGATCTGGGTGACGATCGCAATGGGCGTTTGCGTAGGAGGCTAACTCTCGGACTGATCTCTGGCGCGGGGATTAGAAGTGAGTGGACCGGTGGAGACGTCTGGTTATTAGTGAAGACAGACTGCGGGAGACGTTAGATCTTATAGGCCCTTTGCAGTTAAGCCATCACGTGACCTATTTGTCATAAAATTATGGGCTATAACTTGACGAATGCCAGAAATGGAAAAAGCATGTCGAAACTATCAGAATGGCCAAGTTTGTGATCCCCATCATTAAAGAATGAGATTTTATGACGGTTTGAATTTTTAAAAGAATAAGAAGATTTGTATGAAAAAAATTGTTGGAGAGCAAGGCCTTGCTCTCCAGCAACATTTTCCATTCAAATCCTCTAAATTTTCCGAAAATTCAAACTGTCGTATAAACTTACTCTTAAATGACAGAGGCCTCAAACTTGGCCATTTTGGTATTTTCGATGCGCTCTTTCCATTTCTGCTGTTCTTTAAGTTATAGCCCATAATATAAAAGTTTTCTAGAAAAAATTTGGTCACGTGACCCCAGCTGCAGAGGGCCTATTGAGGTATTTTGGCGGCTAAGAAATTTCACTTGATCTCATCTGTGTTTTTTTAAGTATTTATTTGCATAGAAATGGCTTAGTAGCAGCAAGAGCAATTTACAGACTGTCAGTAGCTGGTTATTTATGTTGGTGAGCTGATCTTAATTCTTTCTTCAGAGCCCTTGCATCCTTCGCGTTTAATCTGAACATCGATTGGGAGCTTACTGGTGAACGTAAAACTGTAAGTTTGTTGCCTTGTTTTAACACTTTCACTCCTAATGAGTCTACTCTCTGAATGAAAATCAATGTTGCCAGTTTACAAAATGTTAAAAGTAATACTCAATAGCTTTTCATTTGATTGCTCGTATCGACTAACTTCGGGGTAAAACCATAAATTACTGAAATAGTGCAGTGCCGTGGACTTTCCAGTTTTGTCTGTTCGTGTCGTGCCTTCCCTCTCCATTCCAAAACACCTTGACAGCAACTCTTCTTGCACAAGGTGTTTTCTTCGAAGCGTTCCCACTAAACCAGTCAAATCAAAGGCGTGACAAACAAAATTTGTTAACTTGTTTATTGCTTTGATCCTTATGTAACACGTATTTCAGTTTGATAACTCAGTAAGCTTTTCCTCACCGTACTATTGTGTAGATTTTAGGGTCGCAGGTTTCGCTCTCGATCCTTTGAAGTTGATGACTGTAGCTGTCGTTTCTGTTTTCTATTTTTCTAACTGGGACCCGATATCTTTGTTCATGTGCCTGTCTGCATGCCAGTGTTCACTACAGCACGGTTTAAAACACACCGACCAGGCTGTATGCTTGTAGGGAAACAACGGTCGAAACGTGGTGAAAATGTTTGTATTCTGCACTTGGTAGCATGAGTTTTTGGCTGCGGGAGTTTCAGAAGAAAATTATTTCGGTCTTCGTTAACTGCTCAGTAACGGACGACCGTTTCATAACAGCTGATAAATCAATAGATGTCCGTGCTAAAAAAGAGCAATTGTGTTTGCATTTGTTGGGGCATGATTAAAACGTTTATTTCACAACTCAGTCCTTATTAGTCTGTTGGCTCTGTTTCCCTGAACGATATCACATAAATGCCTTGAGAGACAAGAAACTCGGGCTGCCATGTGTTATCGGTTGTGTATTAAACTGTGTGTTTCATAGCAGGTTGTAGACGGGTACGGCGATCAAAAGAAGATACAGGTTAGATATTTGGTTTATAGCTTGTGTCTTGGCGCTGTATTCTGTTTACCAGAGATTCAAACAACCAGGGAGACTCTTCATGTCTAGTGGCGTTTGTTGTGTGTGTGTTTCTTTTAAAGATACCTTACATATTTTAATTCAGATGCTAGGGAACACTGGCCGTTGTATCTAGCATGCAGACATTTTCTTCTTGTCTTGTTGGGACCATACCAGGTCCATTTCGGGTCCACGCCGCGTTTTTATCGTGGCTTCTGCAACCCTTGACCTTGTCTGCTCACTTTGGGCTAAAAATCGTGAATATTTTACTATTTAAGTAAATATGCTCCCTTTGCTGTTGTAATTGGCCTTGAAAATAACTGCAAGGTTAATGCCTACTGCAAATAGTTCACTGTAAATGGCTTTTGATTATCTCTTTTTTTCGAATAGATTTTTGTAGACAGTATGTACGTGAGTTGTTATATTTAGACTAATGGGAGTGGTACCCTCACCATCTCCTGTGTTGTCTATTTTCTCGTGCGTTCCAAGGAATACGGAAAATAATTAATCCTTAGCATGTCTTTGGCTATATGTTTTGTTTTAGTGTTAAATCCTGTTTGTCAAAGTGTTTCTTTTTCGATATCTACCGCTGATTATTGCATTGTTTTCTCACGAAGTTCGTTTCTTTTTTTCTCTCTTTATGCTACTTCTCGCGGAACTTTAGGAGGTGAGTACTTGCTTTCTTTTAAAAGTTCCACAGAATGATTAGTATCTTATTTCTCCTTGCAATATCCATACGTTGTCAAGCAAACATGTGAAGAGAGTAAGAAAAATGATCAATTACTGAGAGGGATATTTTTTTATGAACAACTTGATTCGCAGGGCGTGGCATTAAACTCAACTGGGACAGAAGTGCAAAACGAATGAATGTAACAGGGGCTGGGGAGGAGGATAAATTCTGCCAAGAAGACAAAACCCCAACATTGCCATTTGTAAACTTGCAAAGGCCTCTTGATATTGATTACTTGATTTCGCATCACGGTTTTAATATGAATATTTAATCCAAAATGTCATCGAGAGTGAATTTCAGTGTGTCTCTGACTTAACTTCGTTTAAGAAGTTTACAATAGGAAGAGGTCTGCGCAGGTTAACAACAAAGGTCACTGAAAAAAGTAGTTAAATTAATAAGGTTTATAAACAAAAACGAAAACAAAAATTCAGGCTGCAAAGAGATGACTTGGAAATAAAGGTGATAGTATTGGTTGATATTGTCCACAGGTCACCCAGCCTATGAAGGATGGTGTACGAGACATGCTAGTGAAACATCACTTGTTCAGCTGGGATCTCTGATGAGTTTCATTTAGTGAATAAACAGTAAATAAGCAGGGTCTGTGATGCTAAACCTGGTGAACGCCAAGAGAGCATGTGAAGGCAAAGCTTATTCTATTGTGTGCCGGATTCGGATGTAGGATTTAGGTCTATTCATTTGCTAAGCAGACCAGTTGGTTTTTGTTTGTTTCATAACATACATAAAAAAAAGTCATTTAAAAACGTGTCAAATTTTTAAGTTGGATGCTTTTTATTTCTGCATTATGCCACAAAAAAGAACTGCAAGAACAATTTTGCATGTTCACCTACTTCGTGCTCTCTTGGTTAGACCGTGATGTGATCAAAATGAAGAAATGTCGCGTTCGGGCGTGACATGTTAGTGCCAACTAACTATGCAAGACACTATGTCATAAGAACTGTTTAAGTTTAAAATACTCAAGAATAATGGTGTAAATGATAAGTTAATAAATCGGGGTCCGGTTGTTCAAAGCAAGATTCATGTAATCCAGGAAGAACGTGAATTTATTTCAGATTTTTTACTTCGTAGTAAACCATTCTATTCTGGGGAAGACACTTATGTACACGAGAAATTTAAACCTCGAGTAACTTTCAATGTGGCTCAGTGCTGCTTTGTTGTTTTTTTAAATCGGCTGTCGGACAACAGGATCCAGATGTAAATTAAATATTTAATAGTCTAGGGACGTCACGCAATGTCTTTACCACGTGACGAAGAAAGGTTGCGTGACATTCCTTAGAAAAGCTGTAGAGAGTATTAATATTCAGACGAAATATAATTTATTAGAGTGATATACTCAAATTGTGGATAGCTTCGTGAGTTATCTCAGAAAATAGGGTGTGATGTTCAATCATTACCCATTCCCGATTAATGGAAAATTTTTGGAATGTGTAAATTGCTGTTTGGGGATACTCGGATACGCTGGAACGACATACAAAGTGTGCGGTGTGTGTGTTTTTCCAAAGGCACGGGAAGAATCAAATTGACCATCTCGCTCAAACAGGTAAAGTTAAATATTTAATGCTTCACAGTAGACTGGAGCGAATTTTACGTAAAATTCCTGTTCTAATTATATTTGAAATAATTCCTCGGGTTCTTCCTGTAGATTTAATTTTTGATTTTACGAGTAAAAGTCAGCAACCAGCATACAATAATAAGTTCTTAGATGCTTACCCTTTTGCCAAAAAATCCGTAATTTCTGTTCAAAGACAAAACGAACAGTTCAGGACCACCTTCAAAGTACTCCTTTTCTCTGCTCGGAACGTAACGTTGGAAATCTCCTTACCATTTGCTCATTTTTCCAATCCCCAGCAGTCTCTCCTCAAGAGTAAACAGTAACTGGTACCGAATGTTATATGTTAAAGGCTATCTCTTTCTGTTGGCTTACTGATTTTGGGAAGTTCATTAAGGTCAATCCAACCGGTTCCAGCTCCGTTGAGCACCCCTTGAGTCCTATTAGTCTTCGGTGTTGTGCGAAGACACTTGAAATGTGTTCGGAGAAGATCATCATACTCGAATGGTGCCTGCTCGAAGACATAGTCTCCCATAGTCTTCCTTTGAGGAGTGTCAGATGCCATCCGATGGCAATGTTAAGCATTGTTATTTTTAAACTCACGGTACAGTCGAGGGAATCTGCCACTTACCGACAAGGTATACAACATATGTTGCGTATACTGATGAAGTTTAGAAATCACACTGAAGGTTATAAAAAGCAGAACTGTAAACAGTGGACGTCATTACGTTTAGGCTAGCTTGCGAACGCAGACGTATTTCCGGCTGTCGCTTGTCTCCGCCGAAAATAACGTCTGCGAACCCAAGCCAGGAAACGATGTCTGTGATGTAGGAATTTTAAGCCAATCACAGTTTAGCTCAAGTAGCTCCAGAACTACTGCGCGAGGTATTCGCTGCGAGGAGCACTCGAGTTTCATTCTATCATGGAATCTGACTGGCCAAAGAGAAACAAAAGTCATTACGTCACAGAAATCGTTTCCTGGCTCGGGTTCGCAGACGCTATTTTCGGCGGAGACAAGCGACAGCCGGAAATACGTCTGCGTTCGCAGGCTATGTTTAGGCGGAATAATTACATAAACATTGAAGTAAGTAGTTACTATTCTAGCATCAATATTCGTGTTTTTCGTTCCATACATTTTCCACGACTCTATTCTTCATTCTTGTGTGAATTGTGGTTAAAACCTGCGTCTGAGAACCTAGAATTTTTTATAAATTTAGGCTATGAAGGCTATTTGGCTTTTGAGAAGAAAGGTGGCTCGATGCTGTTCTAACAGCTAGTCTTTTTGGGTTTGGTCCTTCGTTATGAAAAAGAAATTGGCTTGTAATTTCCAAATATTAGCCCATAGGCTGTTAATTCACCAGGTTTTTCTGCGCAGGTTTTACTGTGGTGTGTTAAATCAACTGGAAAATGTGACATTGTAAAGGTTTGTGAAGACTATAAGTTTTAAGTCACATGATCGTGCTCTGTGGACGTAACAAATAAGCGTGTAAAGTGAAGTGAAGACTTTGTTACTGGTAAGCTCTTCTAGGTAGAGTCGGCTCTGCTTTGTGCTATAGACAAGAAACGAAGAAGAACGAGAATTAAAAGTTTATTTAACGTCTACATACGCCCAGTGAGTAAAACTTACAATGGTAGTCTCGCGGTAGAATGTGAAGGGATAACCAATAAAAGAGTCAAATGAGCTTGTGGTGATTCGCTTTCTCGTTTATAAATGTCGGGTATGCCAGCGACCCCTCTTTTAAGACAGAGCTCATGGAACAAGATTGAAAATACAGGTTTAATTTGTAGACTTTTGGATGCGTGGAGTACGACATTTAGAAACTACCTGGTCTTTAGGCGGAATAGACACGATGGGTTTGGGCCTGCGATCACATTTATCCTAGGACATATGGAGGGGTAGATTGGTTCCCTCCCCTTTCCGTTTTTTCTTTTTCTTTTTCTTTTTTTCGTTCTTCACTGAAGTAACCTAATGGCAGGCTAGATGCATGTCTGCTGAATAGATACAGTCTGTTTAGATGGCAGAATGACAACTCTCTTGGTTATAATGGCTTACGGCTGGTAACACGTGACACTGAAAGTTTCACCCCTTTTTGCTGAACAAATTTGAGTTTCATAGCTAAAACTGAAAAGTGATAATCTCTGAAACTGGTATATAAACCCTCCGTCTCTTTATTCACCCATTGTCTGTTGTTTTCTGGGCAATTTTACTCACCTCAATAGGTATTTCCGACTGACTTGAAAACCCCTCGAGCTTCTCAGCCGTCCGGGATCCTAAATCCTCTCATCGGCTTGGCTAATCGCACGCGCTCCAGCAGCCTGGATTTTCCCATCCAGACCTCGAGTTCGGATAGCCTGCGTCAGGGTTCGTACGGGTCCTGGAAAGTCCTGGAATTTTATTGTGGCATCTTCCGGGACTGGAAAGTCCTGGAAAATTAAGGGCTCCTGGTCCTGGAAATTTCTGGAAATCTATTGAACTCAAGTAAAAAAGTATGAAATGTATGGCAGACAGTAAGGAGAATTAACATTAGGATCTTGGGAGTGAAAGGGTTACTGTGAATTTTAGAGTCCTGGAAAAAATCAATCTGAGTCCTGGTAAAGTCCTGGAAAAGTCCTGGAAATTTGTTTCTGAAAAAGGGTACGAACCCTGCTGCGTAGCAAGCGTTTCTACAGGGTTCGGGAGCAAAGAATTGCTCCCAAACCCCACGGAAACGCTTGCTACGCAGGCTAGAGTACGGACCGCTCCGAAATTTCCAACCTTTGACAACCTTTCAAGCTTTTTGTTTCACCGTAGAACATCGTAAAATTTGAACATTTAACACACAGTAAAAGAATTATGAAAACAGTATCGTTTTTTGTGCCCGAAATTAAAATTCAACGTAAAGGTTGCTTTCAAAGCCATACCGTAGAGAAAAATAGCCACGTTATTTGCCGGCTTTGGTCGGCCCCTATTGGAAAAAACTGTGCCCTCGATGTTAAATACGGCCCTCGGCCAGCGATGCGGCTTCAGGCCGTTTCTCAAGACCTCCCTGGACACCAAAATACATAGTACTATATATTTATGACATTTATCCTGCACTGTTTGTCTGGAAACCTACCAGTAGCTACTAATAAACCTTTTTAGGCAGATTTCGCAAAAAACACATCGAGTCGGGGTAGAACCAGACCTGAGCTCTGGTCCTAGCCTGCGTGACCCACCCTCTCCTAGCCTGCGTAGTTTGGCGGTTTAAGCAATTTTTTTGAGCGCGAGCGCACAAAGCGGCGAAGCCGTGAAGCCGCGAGGTTTCTCCCCTTTGTTCGACCAACCTCGTTCCCAGGGTTACTCCTTTCAGTGGAAATTTCGCGCCAAAACCGCGGCTGCACCAAGCGGATCAACTCTGTCAAATCGTCTGGCGTTGAGCTCCCAACAAATCGCCCTGTAAACAGAAAGGAAAGGAATATTAAGGTACGATGCAATGAAGTGTAGTCAAAAAGAGTTAACTTTTCCTAATCAAAGATAAGAAGCAAGTGTCTACAAAACCATATCGACGTTGGCCAGACAAGCGCCGCACAGTAGTATCAACAGTGGGGGAATGGTTCATTCATAGTCATAATCACAGTCATCGTTCCTCGGCCCAAATTTTAACTTCGAGAGCGGTGAATACCTATCGGTGCAATTCTTTTAGGCTTGAACAACATATTATGACATATCGCAGCAGCGTGGAAAAATTGCAAGACCACGCTTCGTTTGAATTAGGTATATTTTATATTTGGTACGAGCTTTAATATATGTTTGCCGGCTGCCGATCGACAGATATTTTAAAATTTTTTATACCTTCAAATGCGTTGCCTTACCACGCTATCACGAGAGTAAGCTTATGTTTTTACGTCAATTTTTATTTCAGGCCTGTTTAGCGTGGTAAACAAAGGATTTCAAGGACCAAAAACCCGAGAGAGCTGTGATGGCGACAAGTTGACAGTGAAAGACTTGAAAGTGCTGGTGCAAATAATCCTATTTGTGTTTCAGGTATTGACTTATTGAACCCTATAGAGCGGTTTTCAATTTGGTGTTGAAAGTAATCGGGTGATTACTTTGTTTTTGGTTTTGGCTCTGGTTTTACGACGGTTTGAGATTGGCTGAGTAGTCTATGAATTGGTAAGCACTCTTTCTGTCTATAAGAATATATTTTATAAGAATATCGAGGCAGAAATTTGGGAAATGTTAAGAGTATTGAATAAACTCGAGTTTGAGAGTTTGAAAAGAATATAACTTTTAGTGTTGAAAATTTTTGAATAGAATACAATTATGTTTTTAACTAAACCGTATAAAATTTGTCTCTTATTTTCTCTAAACAGCAAAACAAGGCAAAAACCAGGGAAGAGAGAGCTATTCCCTTATATGGGCTATATGTATGGGTTATTGACCAAGTGTGAGGTCAAGATGGCTGGATATTGGCCAAGTTCTTTTTTTGCG